AGCCACCATAAGTGCACAATTCAGCAGATGTGCAAGTCAGTGCATTTATACTCCAAGACAAGCTTGAAAGCAATTCACCGACCCTGAAGGAATGGAAGGCTTGGGACGGCCACCACTCAGGACTTGTTCTCTCTGCATAGTGGGCAGTGCCACTCGCTACTACACCACTTCCGCACACACACCTAACACTTGTTCAAACTTTCAATTTTTTTTCTATTACAACCAATAACCAACCAATACGAAGTGTCTCGTCGTAAACCGTAAAGTAGCTGCCATCGCTGTTCACCACCAAGACGTTATTGGTGACCCGTTTATGAAGTGGAGTTAGCGGTAAGCCACCGACACCCACATGCTCGCTCAGCTGTAGTGCTTCGATCACAAAATTCACCTGAAAAAGAAATTTTAGCTCAATAAACCATGAATAGTGAAAAGGTTTCTTTTTTTGGAGTTGGGGGAGGCATACCACTGCGCACTGCCAGGAATAAGAATAAGCTCATTCGAAATATATGTACTTTTCGACATGGACCGGTGGGTGTCCTATACATACGGGAGGGTCTACGGACAACTTGAACTCAGCCCTTTAAACCGCCTCGATTTGACGCTCTCGCCTGCGCTCTCTCGCTTAACCAGCGCTTTATGATTACTGTGATCTTATGTATTCAAACTTTGCCACAATATAATTGGCTCACCACTACGGAGTCCCTCCTCCCTTCAAGGCTTAGTCCTAGGGCTCTCACCTTCCTTGGTTGGGATTTGGAGCCGAGCCAGGCACCGTTCTCTAATCGTCTGTGCTCTGGCCTTTCTCGGCAGAGAACATAGGGGAGAGTTCAAGTAGTCACGTAATCGGGGAGAGAAAAGTTCACCAGCGGCGCTTATTTCTGAAACCAAGACACCGCTTGTCTTTGTGGACAAATCCGTCAAAATTAACGCCCAGATCTACCAGGAAACAATTTTACGTGATGTGCTCTTCCATGGACTGTTTCGACCTCCAGCAAATGTCAGTGCCTTCTTCAGCAAGACTAGGCGCCTCCACATGCCGCAAAATCTACGCTGGAGTTCTGTGACCGTCATTTTCCAGGTTACTGGTCACAAAATGTTTGGCCATCTAACTCGCCCGATTTGAACCAATGGATTTGGCGGTGTGGGGCTTCTTGCAGCAGAAGATGCCTTCTGAGCAACATCGAAGTTTGGACTCCCTGAAGGCTTCCTTGGAGAAGGCATCAGCTTCTTGCAGCCCACGGTGGTACCGGCTGAGACGAGGCTTGAAGCCTGTATTGCTGCCGCCACTAGGATTACATTGAGATGTACCGAAGGGTGGGATCATGCGGGATTGCTTGACAGGGGACCGGCAGTCGGGATCAGCGATGTTAGTCGAAGGAATGGATCGCTCTGGTCAAGGGTTAGGAGCTAAGTCGGATTCGATCACCGTGGGTTTTGGCACTGCGGAAAATCGAAGGTAAGATGTCTTGTCTGCTCTTAAGACTGTCTTGTATGGGCCTAGTAGTCAGATGTTTGCCTCAGCCACGCGTGAGACCTTTCGGTAGAGACCTAAAACTAGTTGACACACGAACGACTCCCATAATTCTGTCGGGAGTGGACATACCTTGCTCGGATTCAAATTGTCGCTGGGGTGAGCCGAGTAGTTGGGAAAGTTAACATAAAGTATGAAGGCCGTATTATCGCTATCTTGTTGTACATCATTTGGACGGTTATTTGAGGATTTCATGCATTATATCTCACTGCCACATTGGCGCCGGTTTGTTAGGAGAGTTCGTACGGAATCGGTCAGTTATCGAGACTTTGGTTTTTGCAAGAAACGGCTAAGATCAGCGTATGGTCAGAATCAAAAATAAAGCGATATGGCTGACGTTCGAGATCCGGGCCAGGATTATGGTAGGGAGTAATGTCCGTGCACAGAATGAACAATCGGGAGGCTGAATTGGGGCCGGAGGCTGGTGAGCCGGAGAGCTCCAATGAGGCAAAGTGAGGGAGATTGCACGCGTTTTTTCAGATATTTGGAATTTAAGTAAAGACATTGTTCGCATCTTCTTGGTAGTGGGGTTGGTGCATAAGCTTACTTTAGAATTTCTGGCAAGAGGACACCGAGTGGTTGTGAACGCAAGTGTATGAACAGATTTGCCGCAATTTCTTTTTTATAATTCTGTTCCTCTGTCTTCAGATAGCACTGAGTGGTGACGTGTTGACAGGTTTGGCTCAAAGGGTAGTGGGTCGCGGGACATAAGTACGTCTGCCAAAAGATGTGTATACTGAAAAATGGTAGGTTAATGAAATGTGACGCTTTTTAGCTCCTATTTTGCACTTTGCGCGATCGAATCAGGCAATTGTTACTGTCGTGAGCTTTATTTTTGACATTTCGTGGTAACTCTCGATGGGTCTGCTGCTATTTTTAACCTTCAAAAGAATCGACTGACTTCCATTTGATAAACTAACAAAAGATTTTTGGGCGAGAAATCCTAGTATTGAAAACGAAAGGAACATTTCAAAACAGAGAGCAATTTCGATGCTGAAGTAGTCCAGAAGAACTAGCTGTGGAATCTGAATCTTTATCCTTCTGAACGCTTCTAAATAAGTCAGTGAACATTGAGAGACCCTCTCTATCCCTTTGGCTCTACCATCCCCTTTATAAACACTTGTCGGTTTCTCCTTTATTTTTTTTAAATTTGTGGTAGTACCTATGGGGGAATCCGAAAAAAACTCTCCTATTCGTCAACAGGATGAAATAGAAGAAATAACCTGCCTTGATTTTCAGGATCTTATCCTGTGCCGTATTCCTTAGATCACTCACGTCTCCAACAGCGAGCGAAACCTGAAAAACCATAAATCTTCCGCTGAATATTCCTAGCATCGAGAATAACAATCGGAGACGGGTTTTGTGCCACTTTCTCTTGTCCCCGACCCACGCGTTGACGACATAAAACTCGCTGAAGAAGCGCTCAACGGGGCGTCTACCGTACTCACTGAGAGAACTGAGTGAGTCATAGGGTGCTGCTCTCGTTGGCGCTGATTTTCGAGAAGCGTCAGAATGAGTCAGCCGAGAATCGATAGCGTGCAGCTACCGTTTCCCTCCGCAAGCTGCTTTTTGTAAGTAAGAGAACTCTATTTTCATCTAGTGTTTATTAAGCTCTCGTAAAAAAACTACCAATGCGGTATCAGTTCGTTTTTTCTCGAAAATATTAGAAACTGATGATAAGAGTATGCGTGCATTTGAGATGTAACAATTGAACAATCGAATTTTTCGGGCAGAACGAGAAAGAGAAGAA